CACCACCCTTTAAACATTCATCAGTCTTGGGCTAGTAAAGTGCAATATATCATGTACCATACCGCTTCCCCACCTCTGCTCCTTTGCAAGGCCTGGAATCAGGCCCCAACAGGGGCAGTGATCTCTTAGTTATCTGATCAACCCAGGTGACTTTTATGTTTTTATAGAGCTTCCAAAATGGAACTGCAGCCTCTCTCACAAATGCATGGTATGAATTGTGACCTGGAACCAAATATAAAGGAGCAGAGAAAGGTAAAGCTATCAAAACACATTATATCTATGTTTACAATTCAATTTTGAAACATGGATACAAATACTCATGTACAATATATTTCAACCTTTTGCCCTAAGCTGAAGAGAACTTTTTTGTGTCTTCCAAAGTGGGCAGAAATGAGGATTCCTGCCTGCTGTCCCTCTAGTGCAAAATCTAGTCCTTTAAATGCTCTCTTTATCAGCAAGGATTCACATCTTTAGATAAACTACAATGGGCACTAGCAAACACAGTGGCCAATACAGTTCCATTTCCAACCATGCAATTATGGACCTTTAAAGAATTGCTGAACAACTAGTGGAGAAAAGGAAAGCTAGTTCTCCTTATAAAATCTCTTAGTTAAGAACCCATAATCCCAATTATTTTTTTTCAAAATTATTTTCTACTGTTCTAAACATGTATATTGTGTGTGGGGGAAACCCACAGAACTCTTATAAGTCAGTCTTTGGATAGCTTACCAAAGAGGCACCAATGTTTACTCCCTCCCTGCCCTTAAAAATTTTGGTATCTTAGCAGATACAGTGTAATCTTTGGTTACATAATGTGATGCTCTCAACTCTTTGTCTTTTTTAAAACATCTTTCAAAGATTTTCAAAGAGATTAGCGATGAGAACAGAACTGCCTATAAAAGGCAGCAATGAGAACATAACTATCTATAAAAGAAATTGCACATGCAAAATGGCTTATTTTGACTTTAACTTTGGGATTTGATCCTGTGCTTTAGCATTCCTGATTCTCATGACTCCCTATAGGGGGTTGAGCATGAAGGCCATTTCCTTGGCTCAGTGACCTTTCATTTGGGCAACTGGCACAGGATAATTAGTAGTCAGCCACCTGTTTTCTCATGGCCATGCAGGAAACATGCAGGCATAGTTACTGAGTTGTCTGGAAAGAATCTTATAAGGCGAAACTCTGGAACAAGGTTGGGAAGGGGTTAAAGGGAGTGGCTTGGGCTTTTGTACTCTGCTAAATATCAAGGGAGAAAAGAGGTCAAGGCCATGTCTGTGCTGTGCTAATGAAACAAACAGGAGCTACTTGAAGCTCAAAGTTAGGTCATTTGTGTAATTGGTAGTATCATGTGGATGGTAGAACTACTTTCTCTTAAAGTACAAACAGAATTATTCTTGCTATATATGCATATGTACATTTAGAAATAAAGGATGGACAGAGAGGGACTTTAGCATCACCACATTATTTCTCAAACCTGAACTACTTAAAGGACAGAGGGATGGAAGGAAACTTTTTTTTCTTTTTTAGTGCCAGTGAACATATATAAAATATATATGTATTACTGATTTTCTTTTTCAAAGATATGACAGAATCCTTTAAAATATCTTTCTCATTAAAAAAATAATGAGCTTTCCAAGAATGATGACACTGTTTGTGGCATAGAAAATCAATGGAACGTAGAATCCAACCCTCATTTCAGCTCAGACACTAAGCCTGGGCAAACTGCCCAATGAACAAAAGTTGAAATTGCCACACAATTCTCTTATTTGACCACAGAGTTTGTGACCCTGGCAGCGGTCTGCTGCCCACACAGACAAGACCTTCTTCTACGGTGCTCCCTTTTCTTTTCTCTTCCTCACTCTCCATCCCCATTGAACACTGCAAACCTCTTTAGAAATAGCCTCTTTGGAGATAGTTACTTGTCTGATGAGTGATCTTCATCTTCCAGCTCACCAGGTGAGTGGATCTTATTGGCCAATCCTTCACGGGTGAGCACAGTGTACCAACCACATCAACACTGTTTGTAGAGTGCATGCAAAATGAGACTTCTGCCAATTACATTGGCTGAAACATCAATTACCAAAAGAAAGCATAAATCCCCCTTTCATCTTTGAGAGAACAAAGCCAAGCTAAAATACTTTTTCTCATAGACTCCCCAGTGCAAAAGCAGTAGGCCTAAAGCCTTGTGTAGGCTGTTTTCCCTATTCTTGCCATCCTGAAATTTAGAGTAATCCAGTTGTTGCTGATTTTAATTACACTGATTTTTGGCTTTCACAAGTGAAAGCATACATATTCATAAGGACAATAGTCACAATTGAGAAATCTCTAATGATGAAAAATTTGATAATCAGGAAATGGAAAGGAGAGACTCTAGTCTTTACAAGAAGAGGTATTAGAATGATAATATCAAATCCATGTACCATAAAAAGTGAAGATCATTTCAAAACAGATGTAAAGAAATTATTAAAATGTAATCTAGTTTAACTGAAAAGAGTGGTGTATTTTTTTTTCTGTTTAAAATAGCAAAAAGTGCCGAAACCGGTTTGGCTCAGTGGATAGAGCATCGGCCTGCGGACTGAAAGGTCCCAGGTTCGATTCCGGTCAAGGGCATGTACCTGGGTTGCGGGCACATCCCCAGTAAGAGATGTGCAGGAGGCAGCTGATGGATGTTTCTCTCTCATCGATGTTTCTAACTCTCTATCTCTCTCCCTTCCTTTCTGTAGAAAATCAATAAAATATATTAAAAAAATAATAAAATAGCAAAAAGTGATCCTGTGAACTTATATAAGCCAAATAGTGTAATAACAAAGAAAACCAGAATTTGTCTATCTTACGCCAGAAAGACAACCTGCCAGTATTAGTTTTATCCAGCAGTCTTGGATTGGTATATCACTCATCTTAGGTTCCTCTCTCCCTTGTTATTTAAAGAAACTGTTTTTGCAAGTTCTTTTGGCTATTAATATCAACACAGAAATCAGGGGAGGAAACCCATGTAGATCATATCAGATCACTCAGAAACTATCTTCTCAACAAGTAAAGTGAACCAACTGAAATGGGCATCTTGTTGACTGGCTTCTAATTCCTTGAGTTTAGCAGATGAATTAAAGAGCTAAGTGGCCAAGATGAGAAAGTAGTTGGGCATTCCCTCTTCACTTGGGATTAGGGAACAAAGTCAACAGAATAGAGGTGTGCCAAATGTCTATATGAAACCAGTGTCCCAGGAACACACCCTGAGTTCATGGGTGGCAGCCCATTGGAGCCACACCAACCAGAACTTTGCAAAAAGGCCATGGTCCTGTCATCTCAGTGTTTCAGCTTCCCTCTGACTGACAGGCAGCAACATAGGTGGGGATTCTGGCTGAGTATGGTCAAAGTCAGAGCACATAATCTGCAGCAGAGGAGGAGGAGGAGGAGGAGGAGTAAATTCACCAGATGGTACCCATCTGGCTTTAAACTTTGCCTCTTAATTTAGTAGTCAGTCTCCTCTTGCTTTCTTCTCTCTTCTTCCCATGACTTCTGCAGGTGAATATGCTGAGTGGCAAGGAGAGCATTTACAGGGTTTCTGCTTCTAGTGCCCCATTCTTCCCAGCCTGGTAACTGAATGAATTTTCTCTTTAACCCCAATATGGGTTGCCCCTTTAGCTGCACTGAAGGAGAAAATGGGCATTTTTCCACTTGGTAGGAAGGTACCATCTCTGGGGGACAAAGGCAAGTCGCCAAGCTTGTCCAATCTATTGATGCCTTCTTTCCAGTTTGTCTAAGGGATGAAGAGAAGATCTGGTAGTTGATGAGAGATACTTGGTAAGAAGACTTTGAGTCTACTGCATTTAGAAATAAATGTTAAATCTGCTCCTTGTTAGCCTTCTTTGTGATGGGGGCTCTTAGCAAAGAGTCTATGAACATGTCTAGAGAAGTGGGAAAATTTCACCACTGTTTTTGGTGAAGTTCAGACCCACAAAACACTGAAGGAGGGTGGAGGAACCTTCAGCATGGAATCAGGCTAAAAGCATTCAGGTCTTTTAAAGGTGGGGGCAAGGAGGGATCAATTCTTCAGTGTCCTAAATGGAGAAGAGCCAAACCACCACTTCCTTTTCCTCTAACTACAGCCCCAAGTTCCTCCTTGGCCCATAAGTGGGAAAGCAGACCTGGATCTGAATAGGGCCTTCCAAAAAGTCAGATCTCTCTTCTCTTTCTTGCTGGTCTTACTCTTTAGTGGAAGTGGCCAAGTTTTGCCTAAAGAGAACATTTGTTCAAAGTTCTTAGGAAAGCTATTGAAAGTCAATTTGAGCATGGAGGCAGAGGGTGAGAGAAAGAGATTGGAGTGGGGGAGGCATTCACATGCAGACAAGTTTTTAAATAAGAAGAACACTTTCAGTACAATGAATTGCACTGCAGTTGAGCAGTCTAGACCTCAGGGACCAAGACTGTGAGCAGATATTGGTGATTTAGCTGTCCTCTTTGTCCTGTCTTAAATCTGTCTCTCCCCTCCCCCAACTCAGTTTTGGAGCCATCCTGCCCTCTAATGGAAAAAGCTTTTTGCAGAAACTCTGGGAGGGAGGGTTTTGAAAAATAGCAATGACTCCCCATGGTCTTGTAATGCTCACCTTATTCTAGTCACTGTTAGCGTCTTTGGGGATTTGTTTGTTTTTATATTTTTGAAAGGAAAAAATATCCTAGCAAGTTTTTTTGGTTTTTGTTTGTTTCTTTGTTTGTTTGACTTTTGGTTTTCCCAGATACTCTTAGCTCCGTAAACTTCCCGTGGCACTAAGTGAGTAAACATTTGTGTGGCTGGCACACAGCACACTGCTATAAACAAGCACAACTTGACACTGGTCCACATGAGGATCATCACAGATTTAAAGAAATATAACACCATTCAAAACACAGATAAGAGACATTCATTGCAGAGAGCAGAGTCTGAAAGTGCCATGGGAGGGTCAGATGGGGAGGTGGGGGCGGGGAAGAAAGAAGGAAAATAGAAAAAAGTCTGGCAAACAGGATTCAGGAACGTCTTCTTGACAGACTACACATCAATAGAGGAAATTCCCCAAGGCACAGAAGAGAAATAGTGCAGAGTTATAACAGGCAGAAGATATCTGAAAAGGGGAGTGAGGTGGGGTGAGGAAATGGGGGCTTCCAAAGCTTCATTGAGTGTGGAAATAGATGGGCTTGACTTTTCCAGAAAGGATCTTGGGTACTTGCACAGAGATGATCTCTGCCATCATTTCTGGAAAGTCCACGCTCACCATGTGCGACTTGATTAGCAGGTCAAAAGTGAACTGGTGCAGCTCTCGTGCAATCTGTAGGGGGGACAATAAGAGAGGGAGGAAATAAGAAATAAGGGTTGACAAAGAGTTGACTTCTATCAGGCTCTTACTCCCACCTTTGCTTTTTCTCCTTTCCTATTCTTGGTCATGTGTGTGTGTGTGTTTGTGTGTGTGTGTCTGTGTGCGCGCGTGCACTCTAAATGACCTCCATGGAATCACTGAGGGTTCCCAAGAGATCTCTTACACCATTGTAAACTCTCTGACTCAGGACTAAGTATTCCTCTTCCCCAGGGCTCCTCTCTCTCTCTGTCTCTCTGTCTCTCTGTCTCTCTGTCTCTCTCTCTCTCTCTCTCTCTCTCTCTCTCTCTCACACACACACACACACACACACTCAGAAACGCAGTGTATGCATAAAAACTCACACACACACACACACACACACACACTCAGAAACGCAGTGTATGCATAAAAACTCACACACACACACACACACACACACACACACACTCAGAAACACAAACGGTGTATGAACAAAAACTCACACTCATGACTCAAAGAAGAGGGGGAAAACATCCAGGTCTGTTTTGTCTGCCCAGAGAACTTATCTGGTCTAAGCCCATTCCCTGAGTCCCAACTGTTCTGTTCTCAACTCCTCCACCTCTTTCACAACATCCAGCTGGGACATCGTGACCTGTGTTCATTTCTTCTCCATTGCATTTTCTTCCTGGACCACACTCAAAGTAAGAGGAGTATGGAAGCACCTCCCAACAGGTGGTGCCAGACCCTAGAAGAACATACTATCATTTGGCTCTATCAGGCAGCTCTCCCTGACAAGGCACCCTCCATCATTTGCTTACAGGCTGCACAGAGTCCAGGAGCTTGGTGAGCTGGTAGAAGCGCCTTGAGCAGGATGTGGGATTTTTTCTCTTGCATGCAATGATACGATCAAGTTCCTTGATGTAGTTCATTCGAAGTTCATCAAAGAATTTTTGATTTTTCAGCCCATCCACTGGAACTGATGTGGGATGAAGACAGAATGGGGAGGGGAAGCATGCCCACAAAGGAGCATTAGATAAAGCACCAAGTTTTCTGGCCACAAATTGACACCCACCCCACAGGGAGGGAACCATCTACTTGATTTCCTGCAGCTGAAGTCTGTATGTCTGGGGCCTTCAGTTTGCCAGAAAGGTCTTAGGGGAAAGGCTAGCTGGACCCAACTTGAAGAGCATCAAATACATACAATGTGCTTAACCTTTCCTTTTTCTAGTCTTCTTATCACATTTCTTAGGACCTATGATTTTACATTATCCACAGAGTAGTTCTGATTTAGACAATTAAAATACATAACTTTGAATACTTAATTTTGACTCATTTATCAGCTAAAAGAGCACTCTGCTTAGAAGAGACATTACAGAAACATTTTTGGATGCCAAATAAACCCTGTCTGAGTTATTTACATAGACCTTCTCTTGTTGGCAGGGGAGGAAGTTCTTTCTAGGAGGCAGTCCCTTCTGCCCTGCAAGAAATATAAGGTAGGCCTTGCCTGATTCTATGGTAGAAGGTATGGAAAACTTCAGAGGTCTGCTACAATCAGCCAAAAGGTTTTATCCCAAAGAGAGGATCAGGATAGGTGGAAATCTAATGGAGGATGAATTTTAGCAATGAAATTGGTCTTTATCTATGAAATTTATCCTTGTTAAGCAAAATCATGCTAAGGGAGAATGGAGTGGGAAGGGTGAAAACGAAAGGGAAATGTCCAAGAGCTGATAACACTTTAATGAAAAAAGCAACTGTTCTCTGAGCCCCTAGGCCCCCAAGGACATTCCCTACCCCTCCAGGCACTTACTAATGCTGAAGAGCAGCAGTGCCTTCATGCACAGGAATTCCTGGGGGGTGATTTGGAGCCATCCAAACTCTTGAGAGAGGTGCCTCATTCGGACACACTGGCTGTACATCCGGGACTTATGCATGCGGTACCTGAGAAAGAGACACACAGAGGAAGAGGAGAAATGAGGAAGGTTTATAACAAGTCCAAGAGAATGTCTCTCGTTGATCTCCCCTCGCCAGGTTCTCCAAGAAGAGCTTGGTGTTCCTCTTGTTAATACTTCAATGGCAAGAAACAAGGTTGATATTCCCCCACTAAAAAAAAAAAAATCCTGACATCCTGATAACTACTCATCTCTCCTGGTCAGGATATGGGTAAACACATGGAACTTCCAAGTTCCTGTGTCCCTCCTGTTTCCTGAGACAGGGACAGACAAGTCTAACCAAAATGGGCCAGGCACATGGTCTCTCTGACTATATTTTCAATAACCTAGCTACATCCAGAGCAAGAACATGCCTTCCAGGTATCACAACTTGGAGATTTTATAGGAGACAGAACTTAGAAATCAAGTGTTAAAGTAAGGATACCAAGATTTTTAAGTGACTATAGTAGTAGTTCATCTTATCAATTTCCCTGCCTCTTGTCTTGAATGCCATTTCCCATACAAAAAATTTAAGTATTTATTTAAATGCTCCTAAGGAAGGAGATTCATCCATTGTCCCTTCAAAATGAGTTCCAATGTTTATCAAATCATCCAGAAAGTGTTTCTGAATGTTCAATGTAAAGGTCCCCTGCTGAGGAAGAGCTTAATCCTCATATATTGGCTGCTCCTTACTACAGTTTGGGAGTTATAAACAGTGTGAGCTGTTTTCATTATAGTGACTTATGAACAGATCATCACATTATCACCTATAAATTATATAGGGAAGTGGCCAAGCTTCTTATGGGAAGCAAGCTTTCTTTTCCATGACTGCCTATAGCAGTGATGGCGAACCTTTTTAGCTCGGTGTGCCAGCATTTTGAAAAACCCTAACCTAACTCTGGTGCCATGTCACATATAGAAATTTTTTGATATTTGCAACCATAGTAAAACAAAGATTTCTATTTTTGATATTTATTTTATATATTTAAAGGCCATTTAACAAAGAAAAATCAACCAAAAAAATGAGTTCGCATGTCACCTCTGACACGCGTGTCATAGGTTCGCCATCACTGGTCTATAGCAAGCCTCTAAGAGAAAATACAGCATCCTCTAGCTGGTAGGCATTCTTGGTTTTCAGCACTCTATAAATTGAGAGAGAGAGAGAGAGAGAGAGAGAGAGAGAGAGAGAGAGAGAGAGAAATTATATATCTTGTGGAAAAAGTAAAAGGAATGTGACAAGTGGTAAGGAAAAAGACCTCCCAGATTGTGACTGAAGGTTGTGGTTTAATATTTTAGTTCCCAAACCACTACCATAGTCCACAACCTGAGTATCTCTGGCACTAGGTAGATGGAAGCTCAACACTCTATCTCAGAGAAATTTTGGTTGGCCTAAAGAAAGGGGGAAGGAGGTGGATGGTGTAGGAATATTCAATTCTGACTGGAGCACAACTGGAAAGAAGTATTTAGGTAGTAGCACAAGTCAATTGACCAAAACACTGTTGCTCCAAGCTCTTTCAATATAGAGAATTTTTTAATAACATCTGCTGACTCTGGGGCCTGGATCTGTTCTGGTCTTTATTGTACTTCCAGGACTCTGTTGATAACAACACTGCAGTCTTTGTACCTACCATTGATATCATGCTCCTGGCATGCAGGACTGCTGTAACACTTCTACAAGCCCCAAGAACAGAGAAATTAGGGAAAGATGGGGAGAAAGGCAACAGAAGAAATTCAGAAAAGATAGGAACAGAAAAGGGAGAGAAAGGGCAAAAAGAATAAGGAAATAGTTAAAAGGAAAGAAAGGGAAATAGAGTAGAAGGTAGGGAACATGGGGTCAAGAATGGAATTCAGGAGAGCAGAGGTAGGTGGGAGTAAAAGAGAGGAAATGAAAATTGGAGAACACTGAGCACGGTGCCTGGCAATTCTTAAGTGCTCAATAAATTACATATAGGAAGGTGCCATTATCATACTATTCACCATTCAACAGATGAGAAGAATGAGATTCAAGGAAGTTAAGTAATTTACCAAAGGTCATTCAGGTAGAGTTCAAGCTCATTACCCTTATATGTGTTTCCCAAAAAGGTCAGGAACAAAGAAAAATGCAGGGCTCATGATAGGGTTTGATATAAGAGAAATCAGCAAATGGGTTGGCTCAGATTCCTTGTCTCTCTCTTTGGGCTTCAGTCTCCTTATTACTAGTACCTTAATGAGGCTAACGGCAATTAGTGTTTTTCAACTAGAGAGTTACTGTCTCCATATTGGGTGCTAAAATGTGTTTAGACTGTCACAGTGACTGGAGTTTTATTTGGTATACTAGAGGCCCGGTGCACAAAAATTTGTGCACTCGGGGGGGAGGGGTGGTCCCTCAGCCCGGGTGTGCCCTCTCGCAGTCTGGGACCCCTCAGGAGATAATGAACTGCTGGCTTAGGCCTGCTCCCGGGTGGCAGAGGGCAGGCCCAATCCCTAGGTGCAGCCCCTGGTCGGGCTCAGAGCAGGGCTGATTGGGGAGTTGGGGCGCCGCCCCCTGTCATGCACACAGCAGGGCAGATCAGGAGGTTGTGATGCCACCCTCAGTCACGCTCAGGGTAGGGCCGATTGGGGGGTTGGGGCACCGCCCCCTGTCACACTCAAGGCAGGGTCGATGGGGAGGTTGCGGCGCCACCCCCTGTCACGCACAGAGCAGGGCCAATCAGAGGGTTGGGGCGCTGCCCCCTGTCACTCACAGAGCAGGGACCATCAGGGGGGTTGGGGCTCTGTACTCTGTCTTGCACAGAGCAGGGCTCATCAGGGGGTTGGGGAGCTCCCCCCTGTCACGCACAGAGCAGGGCCCATCAGGGGGTTGAGGAGCTCCCCCTGTCACTCACAGAGCAGGGCCGATCAGGGGGTTGAGGAGCTCCCCCTGTCACTCACAGAGTAGGGCCGATAGGGGAGTTGGGGCACCGCCCCCTGTCACACACAGAGCAGGGCAGATCAGGGGGTTGGGGCGCTGCACCCTGTCACACTCAGGGCAGGGCCGATGAGGAGGTTATGGCTCTACCCCGTCACACACAGAGAAGAGCCCATGGGGGGGGGGTTGGGGCACCGCCCTCTATCACCCACAGAGCAGGGTCGATCAGGGGGTTGGGGCACCGCCACTGTCACACTCGGGGCAGGGCCAATGGGAAGGTTATGGCTCTACCTCGTCACACAAAGAGCAGGGCCTGTGGGGGGGGGGGGTTGGGGTGCCGCACCCTGTCAAACACAGAGCCGCAGGGCGATCAGGGGGTTGGGGAGCTCCCCCCTATCAGGCACAGAGCAGGGCTGATCAGGGGGTTGGGGAGCCTTCCCCTATCACAAACAGAGCAGAGCGGATAGGGAGGTTGTGGCCCCGCCCCCTGTCACACACAGAGCCGCAAGGCGATCAGGGGGTTTGGGCGCTGCCCCCTGTCACGCTGATCCCGGTGCCGGGAGGCCTCGCGGCTCTGCTGATTCCGGTGCTGGGAGGCATATTACCCTTTTACTATATAGGATAGAGGCCTGGTGCATGGGTGGGGGCCGGCTGGTTTGCCCTGAAGGGTGTCCTGGATCAGGGTGGGGGTCCCCACTGGGGTGCCTGGCCAGCCTGGGTGAGGGGCTGATGGCTGTTTGCAGCTGGTCACACCCCCTTCAGGGTGGGGGTCCCCACTGGGGTGCCTGGCCATTCTGGGTGAAGGGCTGAGGGCTTTTTTCAGGCTGGCGGGTGACTGAAGCTCCCAACCGCTCCTTTTTTCCTTTTTTTTTTTTATTCTGGGCCAGCTTTAGCTCTGAGGCTTGGCTCCAGCTCTGAGACCTTGGCTGCTGAAAGCAGGTATCTGGTTTGTTTGGGTTCTATAATCGAAACACTGTTTCAACTTCAGCTCTGAGATCCCAGCTAGCTGAAAGCAGGTTCCTGGGGGTTTTTTTTAGCTTCTATATTTGTAACAATGATTCAAACTGCAAGCTCAGAGGCTGGCAGCGGCAGGCGGGGAATGGGTAATGTTGGCTTCCTCTGTCACTGAAGCAAGCAAGCCTCATGTTCGCTTCTAGCTGCCTGGCTTCCGGCCGCCATCTTGGCTGGCAGTTAATTTGCATATCACCCTGATTAGCCAATGGGAAGGGTAGCGGAGGTACGGCTAATTACCATGTTTCTCTTTTATTAGATAGGATAGTGGACAGGTGCCAGGAATGTTAAACATATTCCAATATGTGGGAACTTCCTGTGCAATGAAAAAATATTCCTCCAAAAACGTCAACAACATCCCTGTTGAGAAACATTGGTTTTGATGTTTTTAGGAATTCCAAGAGCTCTAGTATAGTGGGTTCCTATGAGAAGAAGGGGACAGGGGGCACCTATTGTTTCAGGAGCTCTGGGGCTTGATGTATTTAAGACCATGTGGGTAGTCCTGTGGTACCTTTTTTTTCTGGGGGGGGGGGCAGTAAAAGCATTTATTTTTTATTTTTTATTTTTTTAGATCTTTATCCTTGAGAGTATTGAAGATGTTTCCCGTATCCTCCCCCATTACCCTCCTCCACCCAGATCCAGATCCTGCCCTACACCAGGCCTTCACCATAGGTCCCTGTGTAAAGCAAATGTGCATATAAGTTCTTTGGTTAATCTCTTCCTGCCCCTCTCACCCCTTTGCACTGAGATTCATTAGTCTGTTTCATGTTTCCATGCCTCTGGTTCTATTTTATTAATCAGGTTATTTTGTTCATTAGATTCCTTGTTGTTCATTTTGAATTTTAGATTCAATTGTTGATAGATATGTATTTATTGCTATTTTATTGCTCATATTTTGATCTCTTCTTCTTCTTCTTCTTCTTCTTCTTCTTCTTCTCCTCCTCCTCCTCCTCCTCCTCCTCCTCCTCCTCCTTCTTCTTCTTCTTCTTCTTCTTCTTCTTCTTCTTCTTCTTCTTCTTCTTCTTCTTCTTCTCCTTCTTCTTCTTCTCCTTCTTCTTCTTCTTCTTCTCCTTCTTCTTCTTCTTCTTCTTCTTCTTCTTCTTCTTCTTCTT